CCCTCCCCGCGCGGCTCCTCGCCCTCCTCGCTGCTCCCGGCCGGCCCTGGTGCTCTGTGACCTGCCCGCATGGGCACTGAGGAGCTTTCTCGCAAGGTCGCTGAGAAAAGGTTTCGCTGGTGACAAAGCGCCCAGACGAAATTATTCAGCACAGAAGTGAAAACGAGAAAGCGGTTTTAGAAATGAAAAGCATCTTAACGTTAAATGCGCGATGATGGGCTCTGAGCTGACTAACCCCACGCCTGAGCCCCGGGACCGTGATGAAAGTGCCATGACAACGTCACCCTGGTGCTTAGCGCCCATTGGGAGACGCTCACGGAAAGTTGGGAATCATTAGGAAGGGAATCGGAAGAAAGCAGGACGTGCCCTGCGCTGCAGCGCAGGGTCTCCACGTTGTGGGCAGGCTGCTCCACGGATCTCCTGCCCCATCTGCCTCTTCGTTGTGGAGGAGGGACAGGGAGGAGAGCAGAGCGGGGGCTCCCGGGGGCTCTCCAGCCTCGGTCCTTGTGCTGAGTCCCTGCTGGGGTTTGCGGTGCAGCCTTGTCCCTCCGTGCTGAGCAGCAGGGAGCGGGTTGGGCCCCTGGGTGGCCCCAGGGCTCGGGGGTCCCCCCGGGTCCAACCCCCAGGTTGGCAGCCGCCCGCGGGGCGCAGCGGCAGCAGCGACACGGAGACACGGCCGCCCCAGCAAACTCTTCTGCTCCGGGCGGCGGCAGAAATCGGAGGGTTTTCACCTCGCGGCCGAGACTTTTGCTGTGAAAAAGCAGTAGGAGGGAGTTAATCCCCTATGGTAAGAGGGATAGATTTGGAAATCTGCAAGGCTAGGCAATTTTCCTCAGCAGTTAAAACAGAACCCAGAACCAGCTTCTGGAAGAACCTCTCCCCGTGCCAGATGCTCAGGAAGTCTCACGACACTGGAGAAATTCCTGCAGAACCTGGCAAATCCCAGCAAATCTCATGCTTAAGGGGCAGCTGGGGGCCGTGCTGACTGCAGAGCAAACAACCAGCATCGATCCTGGGTCTGCCGGACAGGATGGGATCAGAAAAGGATCGTAGGATGGCAGAGCAGTTAATTGCTGAGCAGTTAATGTTAATTGCTGAATAGTTAATGTTAATCGCTGCGGCGCTCCTTAGCCTGGAGTCTAACAAAGCCGGCAAACGCAGCTGCTCCGCCTCTGCCGCTGAGGCAGAGAGCGAGGAGGGAACTGCAGTAACGCACGGGCGGCAGCGCTGCCCGAGCAGGGGCCTCGCTCCGAGTTCCACCAGCGCCCCAGGAGTTTAGAGAAATAACACCTGCTTCATCGCCCTAATGCATATCTCAGTCCTGGAAAAAGCACCCGTGAGCAGAGCAGGGCGGGGGGCTCTGTGCGCAGCGTCGGGGTCCGTAAGCGCTTTGGGAAGGTGGTAGGGGATGCGCTTAGCAGGGGATGCACATCTGGAACTGCCTCCGCTGCCTAACCCCGCCGTGCTGGCTTGGGGGGGTGGATGGGGTCAGCGCCGGGCCCCA